TGAACCATGTGCAGATAGGCTAGTTAGCTTGGTGTGCTAATCTTAGAAAAACAAAAGGAAACAAACAAAAAAAAACCCAAATCCCAAAACCCAAAACAACTTAAAAGGCTTTTTTTAGTATGTTAACAGCAAAAAGAGGACTTAAGACGACATTCGTCCATTACTTGATGAGATTGGTCACCTCACAAATAGGGACGAAGATAAAGCAGAGACATTTAATGCCTACTTTGCCCCTGTCTTTAACACAAATGATGCGCCCTGGGACCCCTGGAGCCCTGGGTTGGAGGACCACAACTAGGGGAGTGATAAGCTTCCAGTTGACTTTCAGTTTGTACAAGATTTGCTGCTGCAATGGAATGCATGCAAGTCTATGGGGCCTGATGGAATTCATTCCAAGGTACTGAAGAAGTTGGCCGATGTTATTGCAAGACCTCTCTCTGTTATTTATTAATGGTCTTTGGAATCTGGAGAGGTTCCCCTTGACTGGAAGCTAGCAAACATTATTCCAATTTTCAAGAAGGGCAAGAGAGAAGACCCTGGTAATAACAGGCCTGTCAGTCACACTTCAGTTCCTGGTAAAATTATGGAGAAGATTATTCTGGGAGTTATTGAAAAACAATTCAGAGACAGTGTAGTCATTGGTCAAAGTCAACGTGGGTTCATGGAGGGCAAGCCATGCCTTACTAACTAAATATCCTTTTATGACAAGGTTACCCACCTAGTGGACGAAGAGAAGGCACTGGATGTGATTGTTTGTTTGTGGTTTTTTTTTTTAATTATTATTTTAGCGAAGCTTTTGACACTATCTCTCACAATATCCTTGTGGACAAATTGTCCAGCATACAGGTAGACGTGCACAATATGATGGGTGAACAATTGGCTGAAGAGTTGGGCTCAAAGAGTTGGAGTAACATGGGGTAACATGTGTCTGGTGGCCAGTCACTAGGGTGTTCCTCAGGGCTCAATTTTAGGGCCAGTTCTCTTCAATATTTTTATCAATGATCTGGACACAGGAGTTGAGTACATACTAAGTAAGTTTGCCAACGATACTAAATTAGGAGGAGCCATTGATTACCTTGAGGACAGAGAGGCCTTACAGAGAGATCTTGATAGATTATGAGTGCTGGGTAATCACCAACCTTATGAAATTTAGCAAGGAAAAATGTCAGATTTTGCACCTGGGGTGGTGTAATCCTGGATATACGTATAGGTCAGGGACCAAGAGGTTGGAGTGCAGCACTGCAGAAAGGTATCTCGGGGTTCTGGTTGATGGTAAGCTCTATGTGAGTCAACAATGTGCCCTGGTGGCGAAAAGGGCCAACCGTATCCTGGGGTGCATTAGGCACAGTATAGCTAAACAGCTGAAAGAAGTGATTGTCCCACCATACTTAGCATTGGTGCAGCCTCACCTCGAGTACTGTGTGCACTTTTGGGCACCACAGTATAAGAAGGACGTAAAAATGTTACAATATGTCTAAAGGAGAGCAACGAAGATGGTGAAAGGACTAGAAGGTAAGACTTATGAGGAGTGGCTGAGAATACTAGGTTTGCTCGGCTTAGAGAAGAGGAGGCTGAGGGCTGACCTCGTTGCTCTTTACAACTTCCTCATGAGGGGGAGCGGAGAGGGAGGTGCTGATCTCATCTCTCTGGTGTCTGGTGATAGGGGATGGATTAAAGCTGCGTTGGGGGAAGTTCAGATTGGATATTAGGAAAAAGTTCTTCGCTGAGAGGGTGGTCAAGCACTGAAACAAGCTCCCCAGGGAAGTGGTCATGGCCTCAGGCCTGTCAGTGTTCAAGAAGCATTTGGACAATGTTCTCAAATATACAGTTTAACTTTCAGGTTGCCCTGTGTGGAGTCAGGAGTTGGACTCTGATGATCCTTGTGGGTCCCTTCCAACTCAGAATGTCCTATGATTCTATGAATTTAGGGGGGGGACATAGTGGTTTGGCTTGTTGCCAACATATTATGAGTGAATTGGTGATGCTGTTCCTGAAGATAGCACATATAAGAGTTGAGATATGTAGCATGGCCTCCTCACTTTAGTTGGCAGTGTCCTTGCTAAAATCAGACTTTGTCCGAATGTAACTTGGCAAATATTAATACAAGCTAAATACATTACCTCTTATATATTAATCCATTTTCTTACAAAGATTTTATCATATTTTTCAGAGGGAAAAAAGTAACGCCATTTACTGTTCTTGGATGTTGTTGAAACTCTTGTGATGGCTTTAGCTGAAGAGCAATTCACTTTCTGTCCTTTCTTTTTCTTTGAGATAGGTGGGCAACTCAAGGTTTTGATTTTCTTCAAGCCATTGAGCCGGCATTTATTTCAGCTCTCCCAGAAGATGACTTCTTGGTATGGAATAAGTTATTCTGCTTGTTTATTTCTAAATACATGTGAAGCTATCAGTATATGTTGTCAGGAATATTTTTTATACAGCTATGTCTGAATACAGATGCTGTTCTGAAACAATTGCTGTTGTATATAACTGATGATGTTGATACCTCTTCAGTTTTTAAGATTCTGAATAGAGTACGCTTGTGACCATTGGCATTAATGTTTTCAGATTGCTGACAAGTTGCTGGTACTGTCTTGGGAGGCTATCTCCCTTTGTCTCTTGGGAAATTTGACAGGACCTCTTCTGTAGAGTTACAATTTATAGTTGTCGTAATAAATTTCTCAATATAAGCTTTTGAGGCTTAGTTAGCACCCAGAGTTCATTTATGGGTATGAATATAAAATCACAATTGTTTAAAGGTATTTCTTCAAATTGTGCCAGTGTGAAACAGACTTTAAAGCATCTTTGTTTTGTTTTTACTATGTAAAAAATAGTAGACTAAAACTGGCTCTTCTGTATGCTCTGCCTTCCCTGTTTTCCTGTGGAAATAAAATTCTGAGAATTTATTTCTCTGATCTTGGTACAGTACTACAGAGATGTGAAAGCACAGTTGCCACAAAATAGCAGAATGTGAGTGTCGGCACCCCTGATTTTTATTGATTTCAGGATGTGTTATGAAATGCCAACCACATTAATCTTACATAATACAGAAACTGTATAGTTTAGGTTTTTCACATACATTTTTATCAAGAGCTCCCAAGTAAGTTATGTAAGTAACTTACATGCGTGTGTTGTTGGGAAAGGGTTGTCTGCTTAAATGGCAGAGTTAAGCTTGTATTTGAAATACACTAATACTTCAGCTTTAGGAAGTAGCCCCTCAACTTTATTTGCTTTGACACAGTTTCTAAAACACCTGGTCTTTTGAAGAGTAATACGTGTATATTTTAGTGATACTGTCTTGCTAGAGATCTCTCCTCCTTAGAAGCCTCCCTCTAAATACTGAAAAGAAGCTCAGAAAATCTAATGTTGCCTTTGATATTATAAACTGGTAACTTTGTCCAAAAATGGAATTGATAACCTTGTTGTGACCTTGAAGGAGAGTTAAAAAGCTATCATGCGTGAGTTTGTTTCTGTTGACTGATAACTATCTACTATATCACGGCACTTCTTCAAATAGAATGTTTTTATGACAGAGGTTTCACATGTACCGAGAAAAGAATTCAGAGCCAGTGTTATTTAAGATGGAGTGAAGTCAGACTTTGAGCAAGTGGGAGAGAAAGGTGGGAAACAAAAACCTTAACTGCATTTCTGAACTTCTGCTTTCTTAACTGCATTTCAGTTTTGGAGAGCATCACTTGAAGCCACTTTGTTTAATCTGACTCCTGTATAACACAGGTCATGGCATTTCACCTAGAAATGCGTATGTCGATCCTAATCTCTTATTTAAATAATACCTGATGTCATAGAAGAAGGACAATCTAGATCTAAAGCTGAGATTCTAGCTCAGTCTGGGTTGATAAGATATTTTTTCACTTTTTTTTTTTTTTCCCTTCTTTAAGTTGGTTTTTTTTTGTTGTTAATCTAGCTTCAAGTTCCTGGTCTTCACTAAGTTTCTGAATTTCTGGAAGAAATTTTGACTAGTCTGAATGACTGGTGTATAGAAGCGGCCTTCATAGCAACTGTACCTAAGAACATAATTTTAATTCTTTATTGTGAAGACATATTTTATCCCTGGTGTTCTGACAAGTAAATTGAACCAGAGGAAGATTTAATAACTTGTCCAAGGTTACATACACAGTTAATAGTACACCCAGTAATTAGGCTCAGATTGCCTGAGCCCCAGTTCAGTGGTTTAAATATTAAACACCCTTCCATGAAAGTTTTGCTAACTTCATGGGCAGATAAGGAACGTGGATTTCTTTTAATATGCAGTGCTTCATATTTGTTGTTTTACAGACTTTAGTCTTGTGATTCAGGCTGTCATACTCTCACCCATTTTCTTTGGGTGTTTCTTCTTGGGGTGGGGAGAGGGAGGGCAGAGGAGGTTGTTGCAACTTTTTCCAGCATGCTTGATTTTTAATTTTATTTACAATGGATATTTTTAAGTTCCACTAGCTTTATATTATGTAATGTTCTTTATGATGTGTCATTGTTCAGTTCTTATGGTTATGTAATTTTGACAAGGTCAAAAGGCAAGACAAGACTAAGACTTCTAGCTTAAAAAAAAAAAAAATCAACGAAGTCAAAACTCTAATGTGAATCCAGAACTTTAATATAATCGATAGAATGTGGGGGTGCTTACTTGACAGATTACACACTTAACCAGTGTCATTTTATTACTGCTAGCTTTACCATATGACTACTGGCTCTCTTGAACATAAAACATCACAACTTTTTCTGTTTGTCTTTTCTAGAGTTTACAAGCACTGATGAATGAGTGCATTGGCCATGTTATTGGAAAACCACACAGTCCTGTTACAGGTTTGTACCTTGGTAAGGCAGAAGTTACTGGCATTTGTTCTGGAGCTTTGCTGCTATTGTTACAGAATTTTGATTGTAAAGTAATTTTAAAATGCTAGAAATACAAATAAAAGTATTTTTAAGCTTTTCATGATTGTTGATGTGAAACCATTATTGCCTGACAAAATATAAATAAATACATGGGGGTTTTACTCAAGAAATTTAAAAGCTTTACAGATGCTTTCCTCTGATTTTTGTCCTTGAATCCCTGTGAAGTCTTGCAGATCTTCTGGAAAAAGATTGTGATTTTTTTTTTTTTTTTTAAAGGTTGGGTAAAGACGTGATTATAACTTTAAGGAGGCAGTTACAGCTCCCTCTCCCAAAATTTCATTGTGGCACTGCAGATATTTATGCTTCTGATGGCCTTTATATTAAAGTATTGAGGTACAGAGGATTTACACCTGGGGGCTTGACGATAGAGCTGTGGGAAATAGTTCTCCAATATCACAAAATTTGTCATAGTGTAAAAATTATCTTTGGCATTAGAGTGACATCAACATATTTCATTGTTTATCTTGAGAAAAGGATGTTTCCTCAGCTGTGTTTCCCTTTTACATATCTCTTTCTCAGCACTGTTTCTCTCTTTCTCCTCCCAAGTCCATTGACTGGTTTAACTTTCAAAATACCACGTCTTCTTTTCTTTCTCCTGATGTCCGCTTCCCGGACAGGGTTGATGGCAGAAGACATGAAGGGAAGGTAATTTGACTCAAGCAAGAGGAGGTTTTTCAGTATTTCAGGAAAATTTCAGTTTTGATACGAAAGCCAGTCCAATCCTTTGGAAAGAAGCATAGTCTAAAATGAATTTTAGGCAAATTCTGTACTGTGACGCAAAACCTGTACATTGACTTTTGATACTGTTGTTCAGAGGAAGGCCCATTTTAGGTAAATCACTAGCATGATGATGCCAAAGTACCAAAACTCTTATAAATGCTATTGCAGACACAGCACATGACACAAACTGAATTGCTTGACAGCTTTTGGCTCAGAGGCATGGGGAGGGCGTGACACAGACAGATGGCGCAGACTTGAACAGCAGGCTGAAACTTCAATACATGTGAAAGAAACCTTAACTAAACGTACACTGTATATTGGCTGCAGATATTGCAGATAGCCCTTTCTATCTTGTGGTCAGGAGAAAAATAAGAATTCCTGGTTCCATTTGCATACCGTGTTGAGGGACTTAAACCCACTGTGATCTTTACCCCTTTTCCCAAAGCTTCCCAAACACAACTGAGGATCCAGTTGTGTTCATGCTGCTGCCTGTAGGCACATAGCTGGGGGTCTCCTGGTGTTTTATCCTGTCTTTTTGCTTTGTGAAACAGCCTGTGTCCACCCAAGTGGGTTAGGTTCTGCCTTCTGGGTCTTCTGCTAGTGTCCTTGCGAATTATAACAGGACAACATCTGGCCCTGGCATCTTTTACTTGTCCTGGTAGTGCAAACAAGGCAGAAACTCAGCTCACTGATTAACCTCGCCTGGCAGAAAGTACTGACTCATGTTTTGATGGGCAGTCAGCTATCTTGCGATGTGACTGCCACAATATTTTTCTGGCTAATTAAGGAGGGGTTGAGCGAAGGGGAAGATGCTGCAGACTACTCTTATGGGCACTGAATGAGCTAAGCCTGAGGACAATGACGGCTCATTTAGGTTTGACCCTGTCCCTTTGTACCACTTCCTTGGTGCAGACTGTCAAGGGGGCCATTAGTATCGGTAAAACTGCCACATGTGGGTTTTTTCCCCAGCTCATTCTGCTTTCTATTATTGTCTGCGAAAACTAATTCTGATCCAAAAGGAACATAATAATGCTGTTTGCTTTTTAATTATTATTTGGTTTGTTGATATTTATTTTGCAATAAGATAACAAATCATCTTTAATCTGTGAAGTTGAAATAATGAAGATGTAGTTTTAGTGAAGTAAGTACACATCTTCTAATTCCTAATTTTTAATTCTTTGGAGAGTTTTCATTATTTTATAGATGAGTTACATGATACAATAATATGAATAATATTAATACATACAATTGATGTATTTAAAATTGGAATAATTTGGATTTTTCTTAAAGGATAAGAAAATATGTGCCAGTTCACACTTAACTCTGTAAAATAGGAATTTTTTTTAATTTTGTGTCTTGAAATGGCCCTAACAGAGGTTGTTCTGACATCTAAGTAAATGTGTACCTTTTTTATGTTTGCAGCTATTCATCGAAACAGTCCCCGTCCTGTAAAAGTACCTCGGTGCCATAGTGATCCACCAAATCCTCATCTTATCATCCCCACGCCTGAAGGCTTCAGGTATCTAGCGTTAGTACAGAGTTCTAAACTAGTTTATCCTCTCTTGGCTATGTTGTCAGTAAGTGGAACACTTTTTCTTCCCTGTTGAGGGCAAAGCAGCTAGAAAAAATTAGCATGTTAGTGATCCGAATTTTATCCATGTGCTTTTAAGGACAATATAGTTTCTTTTTCTCTCCCCGTCCCCCCCTATTTTACAGTTATTTTACAGTTTTTATTGATGCATGCTTTCTCACCTTGAAGTCATTCTTATCCCCTTTGTCTTTCCTGAAAACAGTGTTTCAATGTAACAAGCTTTAATTTAGTGAAAACTGCTCATTAACAAGACTTTTATGTCCTTCCCCACTTTGAATGTCTGCATAGGTGCCTGTGACAATGCTTTCTGTAGTTTAGCATAGGTAAGACTTAAAAATGTAGCATTCTGGAATATGGTGGCATTTCTGCGTCATTACCAACCTGCTGTGAAGGAGCTTAAAACAATGGATGGTTTTGCTTCCCTTTGAAAGTGTTGACATGAGAATTAATGCAAAAATAGTTTTTAAAAATTTCAAAATAAACTTTGCCATGCATATTTTTACATAGAGGACCTTATTTTTCAATGTGGTCAGCACAGTGTCAAACTCTACACTTGACTTTTTTTTTTTTTTGAAAGTTGCTTAGCTGTTGGCAGAAGCTAGTACTACTCTAAAGATTTGGAGATTTTTATTTTGAAGATTATTATTATTATTGTACATATTGACAGCCCCTGAAGCTTCTGAGACCCAGAATTATTCCACATAACAGTCTTTATGTACTTGAAAAACTTTTAAAATCGGGCCTCATTATGCACACTTCAAAATTTTATTTTTAAAATAAACTTTCTACTCCATACACTTTTTTTTTTTTTTTAAAACTGTTTCCTGAAGTTTTTCTTCTTGCCACAGCACGCGGAATGTCCCTTGTGATGCACGGAACCATTGCAGCGTTGCTGTCAGTCGCCCCGCTCCTGTCGGTAGCGACTCAGCTCAACCCAAACCTGTCAGCGGTGCAAATGATACCAGGTAGCTCCGCTCCATGACGTAGCAGCCTCATTCTACTTACATCACCCATATAACTGTTTCTGCATACTTGCATCCTAATAGATCATTTGCACCATGCTTCTCCGTCCCATCATGTCTTCCACTGGCTCCTTCCTTCATGTTTGACTTGAGCAAAATCTTACGTCTTAGAAGTAGATGATAAGACCGCTTTCAGACTTAAAATGACTAGCAGTGTGGTAGTTAAAGCATGCGGTTCTGACGTAGATTACAAATTTGCTCAGTAAAAATGTCCATGAAATTAACATATGCCAGTCAGTTCATCGGTATAACTTTACTAAATAATTAGTATTGATAACTAACACTTTGCACTAAGATGACTGTAACATGCAAATAAGCCCAAGGATTCTTTTTTTTTTTTTAATGTTAGCTAACACTTTTGGTATTGTTATGGTCTGCCATAAATATTTTGAAATACTGTATAGTGGCAAAAACAGAATTAAACATGTAAGTTTTCAGGAGGGTTTTTTTATTTCTTGCTACACCTTTAGCTTCTTAGGGTTGTGCAGAACACACTTAATATGAAAGAAACCATTCCTGTATCAGAATATGTAACAGAAACCACTCCTGTATTGTCTGTTTGCAGAGGTCACGAGTGAATTTTTTTGGCAGACCTATGTTAGTATCTTTCTTGCTTTTTGGCCTCTGATTTGGCTGTTACATTTCAGACTGTTGGTGTTCCTTCTTCCCATACCACAGTCAGACCATTGGCATATCTCCCAAGTTTTCTAAATTCACTCTTTTTTTTCTTTTCTCCCCACCCCCCCCGCACCCCTGACTGTGAAAATCCTGCTATTCACACAATGATATTATCTTAGGGTTTATAAATAGCATTTTGGATTCTTATTTCTACTGCAGAGTACCAAAAGCTGTCTTGTACAAGAGATTCGTATGAACGGAGACACATGATCTGACTCTATCACACAGCCGTAGAGAAAAGAAAGAACAGGTAGTAAAGGAACAGCAGATTGATGGTGACCAAAGTGAACGTAGATATGATTTGATTATGAATTATTTATTTTTTTAATAAATAATTTTCAATTGTTAGCCAGCAAACCATCGTGGTTTGTAGATTTATTACCAGATGCACAGCAGAAGCATGCATTAAGGTGTTAAGAGGGAAGTTGTCACTTTTTATACAAAATCTTTCCTGCAACTTTTTTCAGTTTATTTTTATGATAAGATGTGACTTGCACCCTACAGTAGCCTCTAGATGTACAGCTTGTGAGTATGGGCCCTTTTTTTTGGTTGAAAATACATCCTGAATTTTTGTCATTCAAACTACATGTGTTTATTATATATCCTTCATGCTTCTGTTTTAAACCCCCTGTTGAAAAAGACAGAATAGGCAGTAGTCTGCAGCACTATGCACTTGAAAAGCCCTTTTCAAGTAAGTAACATTCTAGAGAATTTTCACTGAGAGGTTCTGGCAGCTTTATAAGCTGACAGGGCGATGGTTAATTAGTATTTATGATTTTGAAAATGCAGAACTTGTGTAAAGACTAATTGTCAAACAAACAACATATGAAGGGGATTTTTTTTCTAGAATATGTACAGCACTTTGAGCCAAGGCATATCTTTGATGTTAGTTAATTTTTCAAGAGGGAGATAGGAGGCTAGTTTTTAATACTTGCAGGCTTTCTTGTGATTTTTATACCACTCAATGCAACTGTCAGGTTTATAATTTGACACGCTTGAATACAGTGGTGTATTCTTTTAATGTTTTCTGCATGTGTGTCCTACACAAATACTGATCAAAGTGTGAAGGTTGGCATTTTGACAGTTCCTTCTAGTTCAAGAAGATAGTCATTGGGAAGAAAAGAAATGACAATTCTACTTCTTAGCTGCAATCAAATGCGTAATACGTTAATGGATTGTAACATCAAAGATGATGTGAATGCAGCATTTTAGTCGAATTGCCTAGGCCTGTTTTTCAAACACTTGTATTTTTCTGAGAGCTCTCAGTTTTTACTTTTCTAATGCTTATTAATAAAATATCCCATGATTATTTTTTTTTTAATGCACTGCCTGGATTTTTAAGTAGCATTGTTTAACCCCCTGTATTACCTAGGAAGGATTTGAAGAAAAAAAATATAAAGCAGAGACAGGGTTTTGGAGGCTGTTGGGGTATTTTAGGGGTTTTGTTTATTGAGGAAGGCAAAATACTACAACGTAATATATTTATAGCAAATTTCTGTGTTCAATATAGTTAAAAGGAAGTTGCAAACTTTAACAGATTGCAGTCTTAATTATGGATTTCATTTATTTGTGCTCCAAAAGTGAAATGGAATCTGTTGGATCAAGAAAGTGTTTTGTATGCAAGAAGTGTGGGATCCAGCTGCTGGAATAGCACAGAAACAGAAACTTTGTACGCTTTTCAGAAACTCTTTAGACATTTATGACGTGATTATAGGCATTAAATATCTATAAAAACTTGAATGTAGGAACTTGATAAATCAGTTGTACTAGGCAGTGCGTAGTGCACAAATGCCACCATAGTTCTATTGAAGTTTTTCTTAAAAAAAAAAAAAAAAATCAGTTTAATATAACTAGAAGGTAAAATCCAAAGCAGCAATACCTGGTTGTTTACACTGAGCTTTCTGATGGTTATACATTTACAGTATGTTCATACTAATGACCTTTAGAAATGTTTAATTTCTGAGCTAGCTGCGGTTATTATTCATCATTTTATATTTATCCAGGACTGGAGCAGAAATTTAGCAAGCTGCCTTCTCTCTTACTTTATTTCTTTGCCTAATAACATGCACACAGTCTTTCTGGACACACACAGTAAAAGATCTGGGTGGCTAAGATGGGCCTGAAATGGATTTTAGTCACCTGCATTCAAAGCTATGATACTTAAGGTCCTGTGTTCAGCTACTACCTCATTTTAGAGGTGGTTTAGCTTTGCTTGGTTTTAGGCTCTCTGTGCATCTAGAATTGTTGTTCTGTATGTGCTGAGAATAACCTCAGCCTTCTTGCTGATTAAAACCTCAAACTTCCTGAAGACTACTGAGGATTTTCACTAGTTCGGTTTCAGTTCCCTCTCAAACTTGAAAGATCTAGTTGGCAGTAGTAGGGAGTGCAAAGCAAACATCGTATTGAGAACGTTCGCATGGGAATAGGGCGTCTTGGGTTTTGGCTTCTGTTCTCAAGATTGTTAAGATTGTCTCTCTCTTTTTTTTTTTACTATTATTAGATAATAATTGGATACAATTTGGAAGCAATTTTAGGGCTGTAGGGAAGTCCTTTCATAGGTGTGTGCACTTTGTGATGCCAGGTATCTTTCAACTTTTTGTAGTTGTTGGCTTTCAGTGAAGGATTTAACGATGTTCCCTGCTTTCCAGTAATGTTTAGCTCATACCTCTAAAGCATTGTGTTAAAGGAGGCATCAGTCACAGCGCTTCCCCACCATGCTTTAAAAACTGAAAGAGCGCCTCATCCAAAAGGGAGTTGTTGTATAAAGACTTTAATGAGGAATTTATGGCTCTAAAACATGGGTGGATTGATCGATGTCTTGGGCTGGAGAAAAGGTTCCTGAAGATTTAAGGATTTAAGACTCATTTCTCTCAGTATTGTTTCCCTTTCTGTTCAGCGTGCTTATTCATCTGGGTCTTACTCTGAGGTATCTAATTCTACTCTGTGCTGTCTGGAGGAGCTAGGGCCTCCAAGCAGTCAAGCTGATGTCATTTAATACTGTCCTTCCTGTCAGCTGGCTTGTGGCTCTTACCACTAGTTTTGACTTAATGATTATGGACTGTGACTGTATTTGCAGCGCACTAGGAGCGTATGAATTCAGTTACCACCCTTCATCTGATAATGTGGCTCACATTATCACCCAGCTGAATCACTTCAGACTGTACATCCAAACCTGGCACTAGCTGCATCCTGCAGCAGCTGTCTTAGTAGTATGTTACAAGTCATTAAAATGGATTCTGTTGTTATGGACAAGTAACAGTTTCAAGTAGTTTATGCTTTTGAAGCTTAGGGTTTTTTCAGAGTGGCGTAACTAAAATTATATAACAAGTCTTCATTTGGGGGGAAAAAAAGCATAGAAAGGGTTTTCAGTTTACCTCTCAGCATCGGTTTCTCTTTCATGTCACTTTCATGGTTCATGCCCTAGGCTTCAGAGGTTCTTTCTCTTTAAAACTGCAGTTAAATTGTCACTAGCAGTTATTTAGTGCAATGCTGAGTTAATTAGTACAATGGCTTTTTTTAACAGGGGTTCCAGTGTCCCTGAAAATGATCGACTGGCTTCAATAGCAGCTGAGTTGCAGTTCAGATCCCTTAGTCGTCACTCCAGTCCCACTGAAGAGCGAGAAGGTGCTTGTCACAGTAACAGATTGTGACCTGGATGTGCAGATGATTTATGTCATTATGTTTCTCTCTGCTCCAAGTTCTTACCCTTTCCAAAAAACTTTTTCACCTTTTTCCACTCAAAAAGCTTAGATTTTTAACTTGTAGGCTTATATTGTAGTCTTATATTGTCAAAGTTATTCTGTTCTCAGACATACCCATTATTCTCTTGCCTTTCATATTGTTTCTGAATTGCACCTGAAGGAATTTCCTGGTATCTTACTAAGTTACAGTGTTCAAAATGAAATGAGTAACATGGTTGCTGAATTATATACCCCATTTGATAGTAAATTTCTAAATGCTGTTAATGAGGTATGAACTGGACAGTGAAGAGTTTTCTATCCAGTTCTTTAACTACCACTGTGGTATTCATCTTTCAAATAACAGCAAGTATTTTTATCCTGGAAGAAGGGACAGGGTGTGTGACTTGATGTCCTGATCAGGGCTCCTCCTTCAGGTTTCCCCAGCCCCTGTATATGTGGTATTTATTACAACAAGTACTTCGAAACAATGATTGTTAAGATAGTGTGTTCTGTGCAAATTAAAATGAAGTACAAAATCCCAAGCGAAGTGGAGTTGATATTGTGGTCATCCTGCAAAATGAAGTGGATTTTGAAGAAAGAAATGCCTTAAAAATTTATACGAAGAGGTGTGGGGGATTTTTTTTGTTTGTTTTTTTTAAGCAGACGTTGAAAATATTGTCTGCCTCATGCTTACTCCTTTTTTTGTGTATCTGTATGAATGGGAAACTGGCTTAGGTTGGAATGAATACAGGTCCTTAAAAATTTATACGAAGAGGTGTGGGGGATTTTTTTGGTTTGTTTTTTTTAAGCAGACACTGAAAATACTGTCTGCCTCATGCTTACTCCTTTTTTGTGTATCTGTATGAATGGCAAACTGGCTTAGGTTGGAATGATACAGGTCTTTTTCTAAGGAACCTTAGAAGGTTGTTTTCCTACAGTTTTCTTACATATTTGATTCTGGGTGCCCTGACTTGAAGCGCTTCCCTCAGTTGTGGAAGGAGATCTCTGTTCCTGTATAAACTAAATCCTAATTCAGAATAGCTTTCATAATTTGTTTTCTAAAGATAAGTCACTTTTGAATTTGAGAGCATACATTGCTATGTGATTGCCTCATACTTGTAGGGTGTATTAGTCCTGATATGTAAGAGCTCAGCTTCTGCTGAATATAGTGGCATAATCCTTAATATGAGATAAAGCCAATTTTATGCTCACAGTATTATTTCTCTAGAACCATCGTATCCAAGAGGAGATTCAAGTGTCTCGTCCCGGCGGAGTTGGGAGCTCAGAACTTTAATCAACCAGACCAAAGGTAGGTGTTTAGGAGTCACTATAATGTAGCGTCTTTTAAACTAGTGCTGTAATAAAAGGTTGAATCTTAATGCTGATTGTGGAAAGGTTTTCACAGCTTTGTACATAGGAAGGGGAAGAAATAAAATCCTGATTGCAGATAGAAGATACTGCTAACAAAATCACAAGGTGTACTCTCTGAGGTAGGAGTAATTAAACTTCATAAAAGTTACATCTTTTCAGTTTCTGAAAGGTACTAGCAGTGTTCTGCAAAATGAGTACGTTTATCACGATAGGAACTGCAGAAGTTTGCTGTCCCTATTCAGTGCCCAGTTATGAATTGCATGACAGTAGGAAGCACTTCCTCGCTTCCTAAGATCTCTCCCCAGCGTGGCATTTTCTTACTTTGGGTGTCTAACAGCGTGTGATCCTACACTGTTTCCCAAACTCAAGGCTATTGTGGGGCCCCTTCCTCTCTGTCCTGCTGCTTATTTTCATGAAACTTAAAGTAGCTTGATTACTTCTGAGACTCCTATACTGTGCAGATGTATACATGTAGCTTGGTTGCGTATATTCCGGTAGGGTGGAACCTCATGAAACATTAGAAAAAAGTTTTCTGTCACATAAAAACTGGTCTCATTATGTGGCCCAGACAGAACACAGGAAGAACAGCAAAATTTTTTTCTCATATCTAGAAGGCTTATTTTTTGTTTGGAACATAAACACTGAAGGAATTGAGTTTGTTTAAACTAGAAAAGAATGAGGGAAAACTTGAAAATTTCTAGAAGGCTGCTGCAATGGGAACTGGTTTTACTGTCCACTGTGCATAAGACAAAGATTTTGGTTTCAAACCACAGCGAGGCAGAGTTAGTGTAGGTGAAGTGGTATTAATTATAGGTGGGCAGTAGAATATATCATTTGAGAGTATCAGTATCTCGATCTTTTGGAGGCTGTTAGAAACAGGTTAGACTACTGTCTGTCAATACTGACAGATGTGTAATTTTTGTGCTTTACAAGGAGGGGATAAATTAATGCTGCCCTGAGATTTCTTCTGGCCTTACTCACTAGGATTCTGAGTGAGTTTCATGATAAGAAGACTTCAAAGCTGGAGTTATCTAATACCTCTAAATCTTTGAAATAACAGATGCTATGAGTTTGCCAAGAAACCTCTCCTATTTCTGTAAAGCAAAACCTTACCTGTCCTTCTTTCCTTGGTGCTCATAATGACCCAAACATATTTCCGCTATCTATCGGTGGTTAGGTACAGGCCAAATGCGAACAAGTGCGTTGCATTTCACACATTTAATTTCCTTGAATCAAGTAAGAGACGATTAGAAAACTACCAGTACTCCCATTTTACTTTAGTTTCATATGTGATTCATAAGTGGTAGTTTCATATGCAATTGCTACAGTGTTTTATTCTTTTCCTACATCTTAAATTAGACTCACAAAATAGTTGTCTTCTAACTCAGGTCACTTCACGTGATATCAAAAGGTAACAAAATATAAACACAGCGAATATTTCTCAATCAAGGAAATTGTTCATCACTCTTTTTAGACACTGCTTCCAAGCAAGCACCGATTGAAGCTGTTCAAAAGTCTGTTCAGTTGTTTGAAGAAAGGAGATACAGAGAGATGAGGAGGAAGAACATCATTGGCCAAGTTTGTGACACACCGAAATCTTATGATAATGTCATGCATGTAGGTTTGAGAAAAGTGACTTTCAAGTGGCAGAGAGGAAACAAAATTGGTACGTTCGTTACACCTTCATTTATCAGGCTAAAATACCAAGCTTGGTATTTTTGAAGGAAATCTAAGACTATCTTTTGAAATCTTGTGTAGGTAGCATCAGCTTTACTGAAATCGGAATGTTAAAATACAAAATACTGTTGCAGCTAGGATTTCCTTTATGTATAACTTCAGTGAAGTTTTCACTGTTCAAATAACAAGAAACAGAGGAGGAGAAGGATTTGGTTAGGACAATTAGGTATGATCCTGCGATTCCTGCATGTGTTTAACCCTATAAAATGTTTGAGTTCTGCTTTTGGAAGAACCAGAAATATGAATGGAAATGAGCACAAACTTTGGGATTTGTTTAATTCACCAATATTGTTGTTGTTTCCCCCACGTGATCATTGTTTCCTCTCTGGTTTGGGATTTGTGGGGAAAATCCTCGTATTCATGAGAAGTTTTTTCAGGTCAGCCTGTTAATGTAATGTTTTTACTTTTAATCAGCTTGAATTCAGGACTATGAATGTAGTATTAGGTGTTATAGGATAAAAGCTACTTTTGAAATTTTAAATGAAAATGAAGGTAAATAACCTTGGCAAGCTCAGTTTTCAGGGAAGTTTTCTTACTGCAGTTGATGTACATGTTGCTTATTGAATGTAGTGTAATTAATTTTTCTTATTTTAATTCTACAGGTGAAGGCCAGTATGGGAAGGTTTATACCTGTATCAGTGTTGACACTGGAGAGCTGATGGCTATGAAGGAAGTGAGTACTCTGCATACAAGAATCATTGCTGCCCTTGGTTTTTTTCCAAACCAAACACGTATGACTTAGCAGGCATTAAGGATTTCTGAACACCGTTGTTAGCTAACTGGGGAAGGATGGGAAGACAAATTGTTTCTTCATGTAGCTACATCTGCTATTATCACTTGTTCCTCCTTAAGTTGCTTAAGCTTTTTCTTTTCAGTTTACAACTTTCAATTTAAATGTATATAAAATGGATAATGTTTTTTTACTAATCTCACAGGGATGTTGTGAACTTAATGAATGCTTGCTTAATATGTGTGAACTCCCGTTAAGAGATCTTAAATTATTTTGGAAATAAAAAATACACAAACTTACATTTTACTTTGTAATATTTCATCTCATATTTTATTCCTTTTTTCTTCATTCCTTAGAGCAAAAGATAGGAAGTGTCACATCAGATGTTTTTCAGCTTCTCCTGTAGTTTAAGTGAGCTAGGCTGAGTCACAAAACTGTTGGCTAACCTGGTGGGTACAGAAAGTTTAATTTTCAGGATAAAAACAAGTAAAGCTGTG